TGTGTTTACTATACAAACTGTGTCTATTGACAGAGTACAGTGTAAAATGCCTCCAGAGAAGAAATTATAAGAAGAATATGGAAAAGCTGTGTGGGGAAAGAAAACCTTACTGAACTGGGGGAAAAAAGAACTGAAATTTCAACAGGGTTTGTTTTGGGAGGCACAGAGTATAAACAATGCTGTCATCAAATGTCATGATATAGTTCAGTGAATACAATACCATCTCACCAGTTCTGTCCAGGAGTTTGACCTATTTGGTTCTGGGAGACATTTGAGTTTCTGACCCCCTGCTCCAGTCCTCCAGCTTCCTTCATTGTGTGCTCCTCATTAAAGGAATCCCCCATTATTCTGCTTCTGTACCCCACTTCTCTAAGACCCTAATGGAAACTGCTTCTTTTGCAGCTCCGTAAAGCTCTTTCCTCCATAAGGTTCAGATGCCAACTTGTGAGGCTGACCTGGAACAGTGGCCACACCCCCTACCAGTAGAAACATCAGTGGACTGGCTTGGGAGGGGTGGGGGGCAGTTAAGGTTGACCCTCACTTTCACCAGCTCCTTCCAAAATGTCCGATCTAAATTTTAAAATGGTGACTGATCTGTCAGACCCTAAGTCTCCTATGTTGATCTTCTGGAGCTTTCACTGGAGACTACACCTCATCTTGCAACCCAGGGCCCACTCATAAAGCCCTCATTGCAGGCCCCTGACTTTTAACCACCCTTGCTGGCAGGCGACCAGGCCAATTGAGCCATGGATATGCCTGAATCCCTCTGGGCTCATCCAGATGTTGGCATTCAACTTTGTCACAGTATATTTTTTTTTTTAATTAAAGGCTGGATACGATTTGCGCTTGTTTTAATTCAGGCTTTTATATTTGCATCATAGAAAACAGTGGTCTGTAACTTTCTTTTTAGGTTTTAGTAAAAGGGAAAATGAAATCAGAAGTTTTTCAAAAGTTTGTAAGATTTACAGTGTTTATTTTTTGTTTTTTTTCAAGTTTATATTTTGAAATAATGTTGGAATTATTAAAAAAGTTGCATAGGGTTCCCATAAAACTTTCACCCAGATTTCCTGAATGTTAGTAGTGTACATTAAACGTAGTGTGATTACTAAAATTGGGAAATAGTATTGATACAATACTATTAATGAATCTATAGACTTTATTTCAATTTGGCCAATTATCCCACTGGTGTCCTTTTTCTGGCCTAGGATCCAATCCAGAATTGTTGTGTGACAACGTCTGACAGCCCTGCTGGCTTTCCTTGTGTTTCCCAACACTTACACTATTCAGGATCTTACACACTGCCTCTCAGTTTTGACTAGCCTGATGTTTTCTGTTGATTAGATTGAAGTACAACATTTTTGACAAATGTGCCGCAAAAATGATGTGCTGTTCTTGGTTCAACAAATCAAGAGATAAATAATATGTCTCATTATGATACTGTTAACCTTTTCACTTGGTTAAGGTAGAGTTAACCTGGTTTCTCCACTGTAAATTTATTATTTTTTCCTTTGTAATTAGTAAGTATCTCAGAGGAGCTACTTTAAGACTAAGCAAATATACCACTCATCATCATACTTTTGCCTATAATATCTAGCATTCATTGATAATTCTTGCCTGAAAAAATAATCACTATGGACTTCTGGTCAAGATGGAGGTGTAGGTAGACACACTACACCTCCTTGCACAACCAAAAGAAGGACAACAACAAATTTAAAAACAAAAAACAACCAGAACTGACAGAAAATTGAACTGTACACAAGTCTGACAACCAAGGAGTTAAAGAAGAGATATCCATTCAGACTGGTAGGAGGGGTGGAGACAGGCAGGCAGGTGGTGAGGATTTGTAGCAAGGCAGCTGCTGGTAGAGCAGGCAGTCCCACATTTGCATGTGGATAAACTGGGAGGAACATCTGGGAAGGGAGACAGACTGTGCAACCCAGGGTTCCAGTGCAGGGGAAATAAAGCCTCAAAACCTCTGACTGAAAAAAACTGTGGGAGTTGAGGTGGCAGGAGAAACTCCAAGCCTCACAGGAGAGTTTGTTGGAGAGACCCACAGGATCCTAGAACGTATACAAACCCACTCACCTAGGAATCAGCAACAGAAAAGCCCAATTTGCTTGTGGATAGTGGCAGAAGTGACTGAAAGCCAGCAGAGAGCTAAGCAAGCAGCACTGTTCTCTCTCAGACTCCTCCCCCACATACACCACCACAAGGCAATAAATAAAGTGGGTAGCCCCACCCTGGTAAATACCTAAGGGTCTACCCCTTACTAGGTAACAGGTGCACCAAGACAAAAAAATGGCCCAAATGAAAGAATAGATCAAAGCTCCAGAAAAAATACAACTAAGTGATGAAGGGTTAGTCAACCTATCAGATGCAGAGTTCAAAAACACTGGTAATCAGGATGTTTACAGAAATGGTTGAGTATGGCCACAAAATAGAGGACAAAGTGAAGACTATACAAAGTGAAATAAAGGAAAATGTACAGGAAACAAACAGTGACTCAAATCAACAATTTGGAACATTAGGAAAAATAAACATTTAACCAGAACAGAATAAAGAAACAAGAATTAAAAAAATTAGGAGAAGCTTAGAACCTCCAGGGCAATTTTAAGTGTTCCAACATCTGAATCATAGGGATGCCAGAAGGAGGAGAACAAGAGCAAGAAATTTAAAACTTATTTGAACAAATAATGAAGGAAAACTTCCCCAATCTGGCAAAGGAAATAGACTTCCAGGAAGTTCAGGAAGCCCAGAAAGCCCCAAAGAAGTTGGACCCAAAGAAAAACACACCAAGGCACATCATAATTATATTATCCAAGATTAAAGATAAGAAGAGAATCTTTAAAGCAGCCAGAGAAAAGGAGAGAGTTACCTACAAAGGAGTTCCCATTAGGCTATCAGCTTATTTCTCCAGAGAAACCTTACAGGCAAGAAGGGGCTGGAAAGAAGTATTTGAAGTCATGAAGGCAAGGACCTACATCCAAGATTGCTCTATCCAGCAAAGCTCTCATTTAGAATGGAAGGGCAGATTAACTGCTTCCCTGATAAGATCAAGTTAAAGGAGTTCATCATCACCAAGCTCTTATATATGAAATATAATAAGAATTATATTTGATTCTTAATTCATAAAAAGTTATATTTCACACAACTTATTATATGAAATATAATAAGTTAAAGGGACTTATCTAAGAAAGTGAAGAAAATAAAAAACTGTGAACAGTAAAATGACACCAAAGTCACACCTATCAACAAACGACCCTAAAATACAACAAAAACAAAAACTAAGCAAACAACTAGAACAGGAACAGAATCACAGAAATGGAGATCACGTGGAAGTTTACCCAAGGGGGTTGGGGAGAGAAAGGGGGAAAAGGTACAGGGAATAAGTAGCATAAAGGGTAGGTAGAAAATAGACAGAAGGAAGTTAAGAATAGTATAGGAAATGTAGAAGCCAAAGAACCTGTATGTACAACCCATGGACGTGAACTAAAGAGGGAAAGGATGTGCAGGGTGCAGGGGAAAAAAGAGAGTAAAATGGGACAACTGTAATAGCATAATCAATAAAATACATGTAAAAATTAAAAAATAGTTACTATGATGTTTACCAAGTGATTTTCTAATTCCATCATTCCTTCTACATTTACTTATTAGAATTCTACCATTAAGGGTTGCCTCCTCTCTTCCACTTATTTATTCAATTTTTATATCATTGTGGACTCATGGATATTTATTTTATTCTACAGGATATAAATTCATAAGTATTGTTATTTATTGCATTGCTCAAATTTTTCTGGATTTGGCCATTGAGGGTTCATTCAAATTGGTTCCTGTGATTTTTGACAAGCCTCAATCACTTTTGGAGTGCTTCATTACTTTCTAGTACCACAAGCTGTTCTAGATTCATCTTGTTCTTTTAAAAAAATTTTTTAAATGATTTCAGAGAGAGAGAAAGAGAGGGAGGGAGAGAAGGAGGGGGAGAGGGAGAGAGAAAAAGAAAGAGAGAGATCAATTTCTTGTTCTACTTGTTTATGAATTCATCAGTTGCCTCTCGTATATGCCCTGACTGGAGATAGAACTAACAACCTTGGTGTATTGGAATGATGTAACCAACTGAGCTACCTGGCCAGGGCTCATGTTGTTCTTTCAATCATACATTTCAATCAGTTCTGTTCAATCAGCCATTTTCTAAGGAGTCCTTGTTCTTTCTGATTTCCTGTTTTTTTTTTCTTTTTACCAAGACCTGGAAGCTAGCTGTCCTCATTGCTACTTGATGACATTATTTCCAAGACACCTCAGAAGACAGAACTAAGAGATACACATACATTACTATCTGTGTCCGTCTGCCTGTGTGTATGTACATAGAACCATGAGTACACACTGATACCTCCAAATTCCAGTCTAACACCACAAGATTCATTCTAGCTTTTACTTTTCCTTATTTGCAATTTTTTCACCAACAGTGAGAAACCCGACTCTCATTATTTATAATATATTTACTTATCTGTTCAGTCTTAGCATACACATAACAGGGTTTAAGAACTGCTAATTCCCAGCCCTGTGAGAAAGATTTGCTAACTAGAGTACCATGTATGTGTATAGTTCTTTTTGTCTTTAGCCTTACAGTATGTAGTCAAAATAGTTTCCCTAATTTAGTGCTTCTGTCTCCACCCTCCTCAGTATAGTTATGCCATTCATTTGTAAAGAGTTAAATTCATTTACTACTGTTTGCTTTCCATTTTGTGTTTCCATTGCATCCTGACTGACTTTGATTACTTATCTCTCGGGGACAGAAATATATGAAACATGATCACGGTCCTGAAAGTCAGAACCATATGAAAAAGCATACTCATAGAACTGCCATTTGTCCCACCCCTTCTATCCCTGTTCCTGCTCCTCCATTCTTTCCACACCATTCCCACCCACCTCTGTGGTAAGCAAACTTGGTAATTTTTTAAAAGATTTCATTTTTCTATCTTTAGAGAGAGAGGGAGGCTTACCAGTAACTATGGAGGCTGGTGGCTAGCACGTCATGGTTCTCCCTTTCCCTGCATCTGGTGCGGATTGATGAGTATGACTATTCGAAGCCCATCCAAGGGCAGCAGAAGAAGCCATCTGAGCAGCACTGGAGGAAGCACACCTTTTCCTATGTTGATATCCAGACTGGGAAGATCTCACTGGCATACATACCTGTGATGGACAGAACTTTAAACGAGTCTGGCTGCGCCACAGTGCCCCCAGCCACTCGCTCCTACTGATGAGACTGGAGTTGACCTGCTTTTGTAATTATGTATAATAGCTCACATGTTCAGAATGTAACTGTATGAAAAATCTCTGCTCTAGTGAATAAGGAGTGTCACCACAATAGAGATCGTCTACCCAGTGGTCAGCAACTTGCCAGTAAGTAAAGCCCAAAGGGTTATGCTTACCTTTATCCCTTGTTCCGTTTTTGTGAAATAATGAAAGTTGGCAGGATTCTTAAACAAAACATAAATTGCAAACTGAAAAAAAGAGAGAGAGAGAGGAAGGAAGGGAGAGAAACATCAATATGTGAGAGAGAAACATTGATCGGTTGCCTCTTGCACCCCAACAAGGGACCTGGCCTGTAACCCTGGTGTGCGATCTGACCTGGAATCAAACCAGCCACCCTCTGGTACGCAAGCCAGTGGTCAGTCCACTGAGCCACACCAGCCAGGGCATACTGCAGTATTGATTTTAAAAGCATAGCACAGTTCTGTCCTTTAAAGTTGGATAGCAGTCACCCATGTACCTGTCAAGGCCTGGAGCCTCTCAAGAGAGAATTTCTTTGCTAACTTATAAATTTCAGACACTGTGTCTTTTTAAAAGTTGTTTTTGGTAATTTACATTTTATCAGAAAAGTTATGATTTTGAGTAAAGGATGCAAATCTTTCTTCAGTTCGGAAAAAATTTCTTCTGGCACACATTTTAATTTTTCCCTCTCTTCCTGTGGAATTATACTATACATGTCTTACATCTCTGTACTCTAAGGTCACAGTTCATCTCCTCTCACAGTTTTAATCCTTTATCTTTTCTTCTCTAAATTAGAGCTGAATTTTCAAGTTTTTAATACACATATTTAGCTTTCTTCAATTCCCAATGTGCTGTTTACTCTCTACTGATCTTAAAATTCAGCAATTCAAAACTGTTTCCTAATCTTAGCTTGTATTTTTAAAAAATAATTCAGTTGGGTGGGTGGAGGTGGAAGAGGGTATGCTGGGATAAATGGTGATGGAAAAAATAAAATAAAAAATAGTAATTTAGTCCACTACATTTATAAATGTGGTATCTTCCCAAGCATCATTGAAAACACATAGGAGACATATTTCCCTAAAAAATTCTCAATTTATGGAAATTTAGTTTTAAAGAATACTAATTTTCTCTGATCATATGCCTGTTTTTGAAATTGTGAATCTTCTTGTGTTTTCCTTTTTTTACCCCTGTGTTTGTTCATATTTCCAGAGAGAATCTATGCTTTTCCAGTAATAACAGTTGAGGGGGTTCTGCTGGTCATCACAGATGCACAGTAATTAGTCCTGGAAATCAGTGGAGAAAGGCATTGTAAGTAGAGGGATCAGAGTGAGGAAGGACATAAAGGTATGCAAGTGTAACACGAACATTCCTTCCCATATGGTTTATGCACTGAGGTGATATCTACAAAGAGTGGGAAACGAAACTCTTAAGTGAACATCTCACGAATTTTTTCATGTGTACACACTGTGTGTAACCACTGCCCAGATCAAGATAAAAAGCAGACCTATCTCTCCAGAAAGTTCACTCGTGTCCCCTTTCCAGACAAACTCCTCCCTGCCACAAGACAGCCACCATTCTGACATTGTCACTATAGATTAAATTGCTCTGGAACTTCATGTAAGTGAAACCATGCAGTACAATTTCTTTCGTGTCTTGCTTCTTTTTCTCAACAAAATGTTTGTGAAGTCCATCCATGTTGATACATGTATCAGTAACTTATTCCTTTTTATTGCTGAGTAGCATTCTATTGTATAAATACAGGGTGGGGCAAAAGAAAGGTCTACAGACCTGACCAAGTAGCTCAGTTGGTCAGAGCACTGTCCTGATACACTGATGTTGCAGGTTCAATCCCCAGTCAGGGCACATACAAGAATGAACCAATGAATGCATAAATAAGTAAAACAAAAAATTGATGTTTCTCTCTCTCTCTCTCAAATCAATCAATAAAAAGTTGTTAAAGTAGGTTTACAGTTGTCCATATGGAAAATAATAGTAAATAATAATAATGCAATAATAAATGCTGTTTCATGTACTTACAACTGCAAACCGCTTTTTGCCCCACCCTGTGCACCACAATTGTTTTTATCTGTTACGCTATTTGGGTTGTTTCTAGTGTTGGGCTATTATAAATAAAGCTGGTATAATCTTTCACATATACGTTTCTGTGTGGACACATAAATTCATTTATCTTGGATATATTTCTAAGAGTGGAACTACTGGGCCAGAGGAAGATGTATATTAAACTTTAATAGATGCTGCCAATCAGTTTTTCAAAGTAGCAATATCATTTAATCCTGCTATGAGCAATGTGCATGAATCCCAGTAGCTCCACATCCTTAAGAACGTCTGGTGTTGTCGATTTTAATTTTAGCTATTCTAGTGGCTGTAAAGTGATACTTCATGGTTTTAATTTGAGTTTCCCCAATGACTAATGATGTTGAACACCTTTTCATGCACTTGTCAGCTCTTTGTAAGTCTTCTTTTATAAAGTGTCTGTTCAAGACTTTTGTCCATTTTAAAGTTAGAGTGTCTTTTTATGTTCAAGTTGTAGGGGTTCTTTACATACTCTGGGTATGTTACCTGTATAGTGAGGTTTCTAGTTTTGAAGCTGACAGAGTGCAAAGATGTTAACTGAGATAGGGAAGGCAAGAGAAGAAGTTTAGGGAAACATGAGAAGCTCATTTCAGGACACTGAGTGGCTAAGCTGCCTTTGGGCTATCCAAACTTGGATGTGCAGTCAGCACTTGGAATGCTAGATCTGGAGCTCAGGAAAGAAGCCTGGGCTATAGATTTGGAAGGGATCCGTGTGATGGGAAGGGACCAAGGTGTCCAGGTATAAGAGAAGCAGCCTCCAATAAAACCCCATGCATTCTAATATTTATGAAATGATGAAAATGAAGCCAGAAAAAGAAAACAGAAATATTAACCAGAGGAGAAGTCAAGGGGGGTAATTCCCAAGGAGGGGTAGTATCAAATGCTACAGTGAGGTAAGGAAATGAGGCCACTGCATTTGGCATTTGGGGTTTCCTTCGTCATATTTTCAGAGCATTGAAAAATAAATGTAAGATGAGGAAGTGGAGATGGGTAGACTTGTGTTTGAAAATATAAGGCAGCAAAAGGCGGGAGAGAGATAACAAATAGACATATTTTTAAAAGAAGCAACAACAGAGTTGTACAAAGTGATACAAAATCAGGTGTCACATGAGTGACAGGCACAGCGAGTCTTACCAGCCCCTTCTTTGGGGAAGTGGGAGTAGAAGGTGCCCCAGTGGCTGTAGTTCTAAGTTTTGGCCAACAGGTGTCAGGTGTTGATCAGATCTCCTGGTTGGTGGTCTGCCTTGTAGGACGAGGAGAAACAGGTGGAGCTAAGTGGGGGTGGGAGGGTAAGGGTGGAGGGAGGGATAACATGAAAGTTCAACTATGGGTCACACCTGCCGGTGGAGAAGAGCATGCCCACCTCTGAGGGGATGCAGGATGGGCCTAAGTGAGCTTCATGGGATAGTCAGCTCCCTGGCAGTGACCTCTAAGGGACAACTCTGCTTCAGCTTTCCTCCATCTTCGGTTTTAGGAATACCAAGAACAAGGAGGAAGTCACAGATGCCGTAACCTCCCTAGCATTTTCTTTAGCTTACCAAGTGATCTCATCATCCAATATGTCAGTCCAGTACAGCTGTGTCACTCTTGCTACTCTATTCCTCATTCCAGAGCACTTCTCCTTCCTTCTACTTTGGACACCTCTGGGCTACCTCCTTCTGCCCCTCTTCTCCTTTTAGTGACGAAAAGGTAGGGGCTGGGGAGACTAGAGCCTTCGCCCACTCTCACGGAATCATATGACCTTAGGCATGTCCTCTCATGGTCTTTCGTGGCTCTGGTTCCTTATTTGTAAAATGGTGGTGTGGGGGGTGGGGGTGGGCGGGCAGCTCAGTGGTGAATGAGGAGATGTGTACTAGGTGGTTCCCAGCCCCTTACTACCTCTTGCCAGACAGGCTGGAACCAGTCCTCTACATTCACCCAAGGGTACTTTCTGGTTTTGTGCCTTTGAGGAAGTTGCTTTTTCTTGGTATTTAGGGAGCCAGGAACAAGAAAAGTCATTGGTGCTCACAGCTCTCAAAGCCTCAGGTAAGGCTGTGGCTTTTGACCAACAATAACGTACAACCTTGTGGCGGATTTTGAACGCCTCTAACAGATATTGTGACACAGAGTCTGATTCAATAGTGGAAGTGAAAATTTCAGCCTTGCCGTTCGTTGACTCTGAAATGCAGTGCTATTCTTTCATTGCGAGAGCTGCTTGCATGGCAGCCAACTTTCCTGATCCCCGTTTCGTAAATGAGGAAACTGAGACACAGGGATGTGCTTTGATTCCAGGATTCTGTGACCCAGCTCTTGGTATAACAACATCTGCTGCATCCTCTGTGAGGAGAGAAGGGGAGACAAAAAGAGGGCCTTGACTCTGGAGAAGACCCCTCTCCCCGACCAGGGGCTGAGAAATCAGTGAAGCGACAGCCACTTGGGAGAGGTTAGGTGGGAAAGTCAGGCCAGAGGCTGGGACAGCAGTGCGGAAAGTCTGGATTGGCTGGTACTCCCAGGAAGGTTTCTGCAGACTGAGGTGAGGGTGAAGGCGCCTGTCTGCACAGAAGTCGTGCATTTTAAGTGTTAGCCCCGAAAGAAAATAGAAGTAGTAAAAGGAAGTGGGGCACTGGGTCGCAGTGAGAGACGGAAGCAGCTCTTAGGAGCTTCCCCTTTCCCCTCCTTCCCCGAAGCCCCCACCTCAAGCCTCTCTCCCGCTCCGCCTACCTCTCCTGCCGGGGGCAAAACCGCGCTTCCGCTCCCCTGCTGGAACCGCACGTTGTTCCTAGGGGTCGCTGGTGGCTGATGTTGGCGCCCTTCCGACCGTGGCCGCCCACCCGTCAGGGCCAGTTCATTCCGAGGGCAGCTAGGCTCAGAGCTGAGGGCTACTTCTCTGAGCTGTGCGCGGTACTCCGAGGATACCCGGACTAGAACAGTATCTCGCACACACTGCCCTGCCACCAGGTGGCGTGAGAGGCCCGCTGGGCGGCCTGCCTCTCCCAGACCCCGCCCCAGAGCAAGCCCCGCCCCCATGGCGTGGCCCCGCCCCGGGCCCACAGTCAGAGCGGATCCTGGGCAGATGCTGGGACCAGCCTGGCGATTCCTGCCCGGGTGCGGTGTTCAGACCATACTCCGAATCGCAGGGAGTCGTCACTGGAGAGGGGCTTGGAGCCCGGCGGGACTGCAGGTATGTAGCCCAGCAGTCGAGGCACGGAGGCGCCGAGGGCACTCGTGGGACTCAGGCGGAGCCGGAGCGGGCGGGTGTCAGTCGGGGACCAGTGGGCTCTGAGAGCAGCGGCTGCAGCGGGAAAGCTGAACCGGTCCTGCTCTCCTACGGCTCCGTGGAGAGGAGCCGCTGCCAGGGCACCGCGTCCTCACACCAGCGTTTCCAATAACCTCGGAGACAGAAGGGGCGTTCCAGGGACCGTCTATCGTTGTCTGGGTGGCCACTGCTGAATCGCCTGCCTTTGTGCGGTCCAAGTGTGGCCGAGGCTTCCTGCTGCGTGTAGTGGCGTCCAGGGGTCTCACTTCTCCGCCCGGGAACTCTCTCGCGGAGCGTTGGCCTCAGCGGTCCTTTGCCATCAGGACCTGGGAGTCGTGAGAGTGCCTGCCACAGCCTGCCCTTGCTCGCGAGCACGGGCCCCCAGAGAGCGGCTGCTTTTCTAGACAGGTGCACGCTTAGCACTGTCAGAGCGTGGATTTGTGTTTACAACCTGGATGTACCTTGCGTGACTCTGTGTGCAAGTTTGCGCCTGCGCGTGCAGGCTGGCCCATCCCAGTCCTGGGGTAAATAAGCAAGAAGTTCAGGCCCGTAGGAGGAAGGAGATTATTCAGAGGGAAAAGGAAAGAGATGAAAGCAGCAGGATGTGGTATCTGGTGAGTTAACAAGCCCCTGTGCGGAGAGGAGGGGTGGGTTTAGGCACAATGAAGACAAAAAGTAGGCCAGGTCTGCCTTGAAGGGGCCTTCTGGATTGCTCTTCTCTTCCCTCCCCCATGGGCGCTGATTCTTTCCATGCACACTTTCTTTCCTCCCGGTCTTGGACCACCTGGAAAGGAACAAGTTTCCAGAGCTTGCTAAAACACCTTCTCCAGGCCCCCCCCCCACTACAGCGCAGCTCTCCAGGGGAAGGGCCTGGAGTCCGTAGTATTCTAAAATTGGAGTATGCTCCTTGCTTGGGGACTCCCTGTGATTGTGAAAAAACACCTGAGTTCGTACTAGGCCCAGCTGTGCGACCTTGAGCATCTTCCCACCCCCTCTCCCAGTCCATTTCCCTGTCTGTAAAATGGGCTCTAACAGCAACTTTACAGGGCTGTGGGAGAGGAAGGTTTGGGGCCTTTTGTGCTGGGCCTCACTGGGGTTTTAAGAGATTCTTCCCCCCGTATCTCTAGCTTGGGGTGGGGGGTGTGGTTAATATCTTCTCTCACCAAGCTGCAGGGGAGGTGGCCACCCCTGCCTCCCCTGCCTACTCAGTCTCCCTCCCTCCTTTTGTTTCTTCCAAAAATACTAGGCGGTACTGGGCACAGGTGTGTTTGGGGTTACTGGAGTGGTAATGACGAGAAGGCTGCACAGTGAAGGCTGTGTTGGCCAGCTGTCACAGGCCACCACACATTCCCAGGGTAATCGTTGATCAGGGGCCTACTGGCTGAGAGGTGGGAAGAGAGGACAGCCAGTAGATTTTTTTTTTTGCCTGGGCACCCTAGAGCTGGAGGCCCCAGGTTGAGTTCAGTTGAGCTCAAGCTATGCAAACTTGGCCTCGGTTCAAGGTGGCTCACTAGAGGGGCCGAGCTGGTAGCTCTGTGGCACCCTATGAATCTGAGGACATTTGGCTGAAAACCTCTCTGCTTCTTGAGAGAGGAAGCTACTGGAGGGGCAAGATAGAGTGATCAGCAGGAGACCCAAGGAGACGTTTTATGTTCAATTTTTGAGCGTCTGGCATAGATGAAGGTAGGGTACTAGGTGAAGGAAAGACTGTATCTTACTTCTGCCCAAGATGCAGAAGAGACACTCACAGCAAACATGCTGCATATTCAGATTTCCATTGACTTGAAGGTAGACATACTTTCACATTTTAACAGCTCTGAAATCAAGATGCATCTTATCATCTGTGGCATCTTACCATTGTAATAGATAGCAGTGTTTCTTTCTTACTGGCACACAAAATAATGATGCATCGTACAGTTGATGGCATTTTAGGTTCTGTTAAATACAGTGTTTTACAGATTTTGAGGGACACTTTAGATATACACAGGTACACAAAGAATTGTCATTTCTCTAGGTAAATCTGCATGCATTAAATTTTCTAGTAGTTACACCTTCTAAACATCCTAACTTTTCAACATGTTGAGTTTTAAAGGTAAACTTTGTAAAACATATTGCTTGCATTTATAAATGTAACACATTGTGTCTGGTTTAATAAGTTCTTGAAAATATTGCATGGTTCCACCTGCCGTTCTCTTTTGTATCTTGGGTCCGCTCCAGACACATTTTCTGCCTTTCTCCTAGTATTTCATATTCTTTACTCTTCACAGCCACACTCTGAAGTAGCCACAACTGTTGCCCCCATTTTATGCATGAGGACACTGAGGGCCAAGGCCACATGGCTAGAAAGTGGTGCAGCTGGGCTGACTCTGGCTGGCGTCTACTCTTACCAGAGATGATTAAGTGGCAGCCTGCATGTGCCCTTGGATGTGACATGCATGCCCTGTAGGGCATGACTTTCAGGGCACAAACGTGGTTGTCCGTGGGTCTTTTCTGTCTCCTTCCAGGCTAGCAGCTAGGTTCTGGACAGTTGAGGTCATCCATTCAGGACTTCTGGATAAGTGAGATATTGCTGCAGCAAGGTGCACTCAATAGAAGAGTGAGGGCAATGAATTGGATGAAGTGGGTGACTTTGGTGGCATAAAGCAGACACTCGGTCCTTCTTGAGCCTACTTAGTTACCAATTTCGGTACTAAGCTTTGGGCTTTAGAGTCCAGCTTCAGTGGGAGATTCCTGCCTCCAGCCTCCCCCCACTCCTAGTCCAGCCACTCCCCTGCTGCCGTAGTGATGTAAGGTAACAAACTGGAGCAAGTTGCATTTCAACTGCAAACCCTGCAGAGTTGGCACTGCCCTCTGGAGAAGGCTGATACCCCCAGCACGACTAGCAAGGCACCCACCTACTTGGTCCTCTGAAGCTCAGACAAAACTCTGTGCCTTTGCTCATGCTATTCCTTCTCCCTCCACTGCCCTTCACTTCCTCTACCTGCCTGGTAGTCCATGAATTCATCCTTGGATGCCCAGCTCAAACATCATCTTTGGAGTCTTCCCCAACCCCTTCCTCACGCCACAGCACCAAACGCCCCCTCCTTCTGTCCTTGCCATGCCTGTTATGGCCTCCTACCAGACCACTGACTGCCCTGGTCTATAGGGTCTGGCCAGTGACTTGGTGGCTTGCTCACCAGAGCCATCTGATGCTCGGTGTGGCTGTTAAACTGTCACCATGAAACTCTTTAGGGTCTCATGGGCAAGAAGTCCATGCACATTAACAGCGAAAGCTGCCTGGACGCAGTACGGTGTGGGGGGCAGGAGGGTGGGGTCAGGAGGGAGTGGTGTGCTTTTCATTTTCATGTCCTCCAGAGTCTTCTTGCTGCTGTTGTTGATCTAGGCAAATAAGCCTGTGTGGTTTCCTTGTGGGGAGCAGGTCTTGGGTCTGAGGGTGGCTTCCAGGGCTCTGCCTTCCATGGTGTTAGGGACTTCTGTCTCTGCCTGAGTCCTTCTCTCCTGGCTGTGTGACCTTGGGTAAGTAAGTCCGTATGTCCCTCTGGATGTCAGTTTGCCCGTCTGTATGGCAATGAGGCACCAGTTGCTTTCTGTGACCCATTCCTAACCTCTAGCATTTCACACACTGGTTCAGCATTTCAACATGGAGCCCTTGCTGTGTGCCAGCCTTTGCCGGACTCAGATCCCGAGCAAGACATGTAATGCACCTGCCCTCATGGAAGTTACTGTCCATCAGACAAGACACCAGACACATGTATTGTCTGTCCAATTACAATCCTGAGAATTATGCGCTCCTGTGAGATTATGTAAAGGAAGACCAATATAGTTTGGGTGTTAAGGAAAGTCTTCCCTAAAGAAGTCATATTTGAGTGCAGACTTGAGGAATGAAATAAAGAGAATAGTAACACTAATAGTAATAAAACCTAACATTGAGCAGATATGTGCTAAGTGTTCTTTGGGTGCGTCATCTGAGGTACTCCTTTTAACGTCTCTGGGTTTGTGTAGACTTCCTGTCTTGTGAGAATCAGAGGAGATGACTGCTGGCAAGTATGATGCCTCACCCAGTGTCTGGCATGGACCAGGAGGCACATCTGCTGCCGCCCCTTCCTCCCTGCCACCCTCAAACCCCAAGGTCCAACTTAGCCTTATAACAGTATTATAGGGTGTCTCCTTTTTTCTTTTATGGGTCATCACCAGTGCCGCCACCAGTGGCTCCGAGCAGGAGTCTCCCTGGACGTGCACACTTGTGCTGGCCGTCAACAGCCGGGGTGCCCCATGCTCAAAAAACCATCGCCTCATTTGCTGGGCCTTCCTTATGTTCATCCCCAGAGCTGCTCTTCTCTCAGGGTTGAGAAATCCTGATTTTCTGTACCACCGATGGAGTCTCCTGTTCAGTCCCCATGTCCCTCTTCTTAATCTGAAGTCGTTGCCCCAGAACCACAAAGTCTCTGCAGATGTGCCTCTAGGTTTGGGGTCTGAGCCTTTGCTCCTGAATGGCTTGGTGGTTCTGACTCTTGTCAGGCAAATCACACAGCTGCTTCCACGCAGCCTGGCTGAGGTGACCTGCCTCCTCTTTGCATTTTCTGGGTTTGTTAGATCACAGATACACTTAACAACTCCTAAAGGTGAATTTCAAACTCTCTCTAGATAATGGGCCCCTTTGAAAAACTGGTAAAAGTGACAGATCATCTTCTTCCTCTGTCTCCAAAAAAAACACACACACGTGTGTGAGAGTGTGTCTCAAAGTTTTGGATACAACTTCGGGTCTTCTGAGACCTTGTAGTCCACCCAGTAACCCAGTTTAATAACCCTCGGAAAACAGGACTCTCTGCACGGATCTCTTTGAGTAAGCCCCAGCTGTTGAGTCAGAGGCGGGGAGTAGTGGTGGGTAATGGGAAGCTGCAGCCTGCAGAGGAGGCCCCTGGTGACTCACTGGAGATCTCCAGGCGGCGGCAGGCCGCCCAGTTCCCTGACCGCTCACTGAGCTACCATGGTGCGCGTGGACACTTTCTGAATTTCTCATCAAGTCTTGAATTCAGCCCATTCCCAAGTTAATTAAAGAGCATTACTTTTGCTGCTGGTGTCCTTACAAGAAACCCTCTGTCCCCACCTCCTCACCCACCCACCTCCCCACCCCCGCCCCCGCCACCCAAACCAGAGAACTAGACTTAAGGCTAGGAATGAGGGTCAGAGAAAATGTGTGTTTGTGGCTATTCACATCCATAGAGACCGTCTAGGAGGCAAAGGCAGCCACTGCTGTTCCTTTGCCAGTTATTTGACACCCCCTCCCCACCCCAGCCCGCCCCCAGGTTCCCAGGGTCTGGCATTGGCTTGGGGCTTTGTTTCTCTGATGTGGTCACAGCTCTTGAGAGCTGGTGCCTTGAAGTCAGGAGCCATGTGTGAAGCATGTTCACTTCAGTTCTTCGTGTCTAAGGATTTTAAAAAGCAAGAATGGAAGTTCAGTTTGTCAAATACTTCTCTAGGCATCTACTGGGAAATTTTTGTATTCTTTCACCTTGAGATTAGATTTATGTGACACATTATTTCAGCTTCTTTATATTGAACCCTCCTTGCACTTCTGGAGCAAACTCCATTTGATCACAGTGTTTTATTTTTTAATACAATTGGATTTGATTTGCTGTGATTCTTTGTAGGATTTTTACCTCAAGACTCACAAGTAAGGCCAGCCTCTGTTTTCCTCTCCTGTCCTGCTGTTACCAGGTTTCAAGTGGTTTGGAAACATTTATTTTTCTCCTGAACCCTTGGCCAGGTTATAGTTCAGGGGACTGATCCATCCCTTTAAAGTTGGGAGAATAGCTCTGGTCTTTAGTTCCTCTACTGCCAGATTCTTGGTTTCCTACTCCCGCAGACTCCCTTTCCTCTTCTGGCTTCCTCAGTTCTCCCAGGCACACCCGTCACCTCAGTGCTCTGGAACCGGCACCTGAGAGCCGTCTTTGACTCGTGGTCCACTTCCACACTGAGTCGCTTAGAGCCATGTGGAGTGCAGATCAACTGCAGGCGCTGCACTCGGTGAGGATGCTGATAAACCACTTCACACCCAGAGAAAGGGAACCAAGATGCTGGTGCCATAGCACCAGATGATGAAAGCAGTAAAGGTGTTTTCCTCCAAGAAGAGGACATGAGGAGAAGTACTCTCTTTCTCTTCAGATGTCTGAAGGGCGCCATCCTTTGGAAAAGGGCAAGACCTGTTCTGTACAGGTCTCTCTTCAGAAGGAAAGGGACTAAGGAAGAGAAATTGTGAAGAAATAGATATCATCTGGCTACAAAGAAGGTCTTGGAGAAATCCAGAGCAGAGCAACAGTGGAATAGGTGGCCTTGTGGTTGTGAGTTCCCTGTGGGGGGAAGCATTCAGGGAAAATACATGTCATGTGTAGAAATAATAGCTATGAGAATGAAGACCAAGATAATTCCATAATTAAGAGTCTGGTCTCTAGTTCTCCAAATCATACCAGCTGTGCCTGACTGGTTGTATAAAAATTGGTTGTTCTCAGAACAAAATTTGAATTTAAGTTCACTGACCTTGAATAAACAAATCCCAAAGCTGGGAAGTTCCCTCACAAATCCCGTAGTTTCACAGGCCTTTCCCCCAGAGCAGGGGTACTTCGTGGTTAGGAAAATTGTAGGTACCCGTGGAGAAAGACCCTGGCGTCATCACTGAACATGGGGACCCTTGCCCACATCATATGCTGGAGCCCAGGCTATTCTTGGGGTCTCTTGTTCTTGGCTCCTTCTGACACCTGGTGAAATAAACTAATTAAGCTCCACTTCAGAATGACCTTCCTCTGTGGCTGAACTAGGTAGCTTCTCAGGGCCAACCTACCCAACCTGTAGGTTAACCTGGGAATTAATGGCCTCTTGATTGTGGGGTTTTTGAGCCAATATTTCATAGGCCTTTGTATTTTGCATTCACTTCTACAGTGACATCTAGAGAAAGCTAAAAGCTCAGAGAGCTTCCCTTGGCCTGCTATTGTGCTTAAGAGAAAACAAAGGGCTGTGGTGGGATGTTCAGACTACAGAATGGGAGTAGGAGATGTGCCCTCTAGTCCAAGCTGCCCCTGCCTACCTCCTCGTCCTCTTGAGCCCATTCCCTCCTGGATCTAATGGGCTCTACTGCTCTGACATCCACTGCTCAGTTTTCAAAGTCTACTCTTCAAGAGTGGGAGCTGCTCTGGGGGGCTGAGCAGAGAGGGGACCTGCTTCTTCTCTCTCAGGGCCCACCTCATGGCAGGACTCCCAGAGACAACAAACCCTTCCTCAGACTAGAGTGGCACCATGCCTTCTCCTGCCTCGTGCTTCCAGTGCTTCTCTATTGGGTGGCTTCTTCTAAGGTCCCTGGTGGCTTTGTAATGGCAAAGTCCAGCAGCCTCCTCCCAACCTACATCTCTGAAGTTTCTGTAGCATTTGATGCCCAACACGTTCACCTGGAGCCTTTTCTCTTACCACTTCCTCCTCCCACTGTTGCTCTGCAGGCTCCCGTTCTTGCCGTCCCCAGTGAGCTGTGTCCCTCACCCCAACCCTTTCCTCCCAGTCCAGACCACCTTCCACATGTGTCCAGAACCCAGCTCTTCATCCACAAAACAGGCTTCCTCTGCAGACTTCCCTGTTTTTCTCCTGGTTTTGAAAGCTTAGAGTCACCTCTGAGCCTTTCCTCCATCTTCCTGCTGTCTACTATTGCCACTATACAGCCAGTTTTTAAAAAGATTAAATTTAGTGCAGTAACATCAGTAAGTAACATTATGCAGGTCTCAGGGGTACAATTTAATAATACGTCATCTGTGTATTGTGTGCTCACCACCCCGAGTCAAGTCTCCTTCCCTCAGTTTCGATGGCGCTTCCTTTCCCTGGGGCTCTTGCTTCTCTCACTTCCCCATCGTTCTCTCTGCTATCTGATTCAGCTCTCGTCACTGCATGCCTCTCATGGTGCCTTATGGGCCACAGTCTCTCCCTTGCTTCACCAGGAGATTTTTCTTATGAAAACTCCTTCGTCATGTTTGGAAACCTCCAATGCCATCCCGCTTCATAGGGAAAGTCCAAAGTCCTTCATCTTCTATTCAGGTTTCAGAGGTGAGTGCTGCTCGTTGAGCCTTCATGAATTCTCTCCCTGTCCTCCAGCCAGACTGCCTGATTCCTTCTCTTAAGACCTAACATGTGTTCTGACCTCTCCCATTTTTCCCCTAATGGGAAACCTTCCCGACCATTGTGTTCAGCACTGACCTCCCAGTGCCTGGAATTGCCAGTGTTGGGTGTGTGGAAGACTGCCTGGTCTGCAGCCTGTGCCTAGGATAGCTGCTGATCTGGTGGCTGGGCTGTCCCCCTTCTGTGATCTTAGTGGGGTTCAGTCATACTGCCCCTCAAGGACTGCACCTTGCAGGTACCTCCCTGGCCTTCTATGGGCATCCGAAAGGCCAAAACCATGTGTCTTTGCTCTTCGGTATGGGCAAAGCAGGTGTCCTCCTCTGAGCTACTTCGGTCCCTGTGAGTCCCTAGCAGACTGCAGAACCCGAGCCTACACTCCTTGGAACTCTTCTTCCCACCCCTGCAGGTCAGTCAGATTTAAGATGAGCTGTTCTCTAAGCCTGACCAGTGGGAGACCTGGGGAACTGTCCCCAGGCAAGCCACTCCCAGGCTGTGGCCTCTGCTTTATGGGAGCCTGGGGAAGTGACTGTTTGCGACACCATGTTTACAAGGCAGAGGGGCTTCCTGTCCTGACTGCCCAGCAGGCTGTGGGGCAATCAGGAGCTATGTTTACAGGGGGGAGTGGGGGAGAGAAAAGCTTGGAGGACTTCTGGGGAGTCTCCAAATGTCCCCAGGGGGAGCCTGGCCAAGTGGATCCTAGTGGAAGTCAAGAAAGATGTAGAACTCAGGTTTAAATTGGGAGAAAATAAAGTATTACTGGTAATTATTATTAATTTTTATATTGCCCTTCGCAGCTTGCAAACTTGTTTGCCAATGTGGCCCCAAGGTAGGACCATTTAGAGCAGAAAGCCTCCCTCTTCTGTTGCTCTCCAGCGGGGTGCATGGTGCTCTTTTTTTCTTTTTTTTAAGAGGGATTAAAATGGTTCTCTCCATGGTGCTCTGGAGAGGGGAGAGGGATTTCAGAGAAAGGGAGGGAGAGAGTAGTAGAAAGGGCTCCCCGGGAGAGAGAACCCCCCATTCTGAGGCAGAGTTCAGCCAACACAGAGTGATGCCCCTTCCCATGCCCAAATGACCCTGACCTCCCCACTTCCTCGGAGGGCAGCAGAGGCCCTGGGGCGCCCACCCACTGGCCTGGAGCCACCGCTATGGCACCACCACAGGCTCATGTCCAGGGTCCCTTGCCATCTCTGGCTTCTATGCAAGTCAGTAGAAAGGCCTGGAAAAAGTGCCCCAGGCTCTCTTGGCCCTTAAGACAGGAATACTACATATTCCCTTTCGGGTGAGTTTGATCCAAGAGTGGGTGACCAATGATGTGGCTCACCCTCTCCACTTGACTTCTAATGACATGAGGTTGTTTTCTGAACTCATTAGAGAGAGGATGTGGAACAAGAGCTGCCCAGCTGCAGGGCAAAGGTGCAAAGGCCTCCCGTGACATCCACACATTAGCCTGTGGGTCACAGCACAATAATATTGGTTTGTGCAGGGAGGTTGGCTATTAATAAAATAAGAGCAGGGCCCTTTAAAGAAACTGATCATAAAAATCTACTTGAAAGAGATAAAGGTTAGCTTGAGAGGTAGGCTTGAGAAGGTTGATGGGAAGTGAGTTCGAGCAGGAACTAGCCTCGTGTAGCATCAAGAAAATACATTTCTGGACTAGTGAGTCTAAGGAGCTTAGGTCCAAGGCATGTGAACTGTTCAGGGGCCTGGAGAGGAGGTTGTTCTAGAAGATACCTGAGTCAGCTAGGAGAACAAGATGATGGGGACTTGTGGGAGTTGATAGAAGTAAGCCCATATTGGATGCAATGGGTAAAGAAAGAGGTACCATTCCTCTTGTCCTCCCACCCCTGGCCACCCAAGGCAAGGCACTCTTATGGTCCAACATTCTCCTGAGATGGACGTGGCTGAGAATGCCCCTTCTGAACTCTGCTGGGTTTTCATCATGGCTCCTGTAGAGTGAATTCCAAAGGGATTGATTGGGTTGGGGCTGCAGTTCACTTCCACCTTGGGTCCAGAACTCAGTCCTCTCAGAGAGTCCTGTTTTCAAAGATGAGGGATTACTTCTCATTGGTTGCATCATTTCTAAGACCTGCTCTATAGATAGAGGTAGAAATATCATTATTATATTTAAATTAAAAAAATTTCTTTAGAGGAAATTTAGGTTTACAACAAAATCGAGAGGAAAGTACAGAGATTTCCCACAGATCCCCTGCCCCTACTCATTCATAGCCTCCCCCATTATCAACATCACTCACCAGGATGGAACATTTTTTACCAAGGACAAACCTACAATGACACATCATAATCACTCAAAGTCCATAATTTACCTTAGAGTTCACTCTTGGTGTTGTATATTCTATAAGTGGGTCATGGTGTATATCCATCATTATAATAGTACAGAGTGTATGGACTGCCCTAAAATTCCTCTGTGCTTTGCCTATTCATCTCTCCCTCTACCTGACAATCACTGATCTTTTTATTGTCTCTACAGTTTTGCCTTGGGAATGTTATTTTTCACTAAACTATTTTATCTTATTTAAGGAGGGAAAGTTTCTTAATGCCCATACTTTATTTTTGTGGTACCTTTTTATTGCCTGGTAGGAGACTGTCTCTAATTCATTTACCAAAATAGTACTCTCTCAACCTGAATATCTTCAGCACTAGCTGGCCAACCCAGTTTGTTCCAAAGAAGGTCTGACCATTAAATATCTCACCCTTTGCTGTTGCTGCCCCAGAGTTGGATACACAGAGGTGGGCACGTCATGTGGAAATTAGATGTTGTTTCTCTGGAGGATGACTTCAGCTTTTATGAGCTGTCCCCTTACAAGGGAATTTTGAGTATGCCATGTGGTCTCTATTTAAGGTCAGATTATAAATGTACTCCACAGATTAGGAGAAAATCCCCCTAGCTGTATCTAGATGACATAGTAACAGACAAACAAAAACATTATTTTACTTCTTAGGTTAGTTTAGTGTTGACTGAAATACTAGTTTGTATATTGGTTTGATGTTATAGTGGTGTGACCCAAAATAGTAGTGACTTAATCATCTGAGAATAAGTGACCCAGACTATACATGTCATCTTCAGAGGTTGGGAACGTACACTCCTTATGTCTTGTTGCTCCTCCTGCCTCAACACGTGGCTTTCATCTCATGGCCCAGGATGGCTGCTCTGGCAATTGCATTACATCTGCCTTCCAGCTGGCAGGAGGAGGAGAAAGGAGAAGGAGGCATACTCTTCCATTTAAAAGCATTTGGAAATTGCAGTTGTCGATGTTTATTCATATTCTATTGGCCAGAATATAGTCATATGACCACATTTAGTTACAAGAGCTGCTGGGAGATATAATCTAAAATTCCCCCAAATTGTAGTGCTATAGAAGAAGGGAGGATGGATAAAGAAGGATAGTTGAGTCTCACCCATATCTGAACTCTACTAGTTTGAGATCTTTGTGAATCTTCACTGTCATATAAATGTTCTTCATCCCTTTTTCCATGCAGTCGGCATATGTTCTAAGTCCTATTGAAAACCATTCATTAAAAAAATGGCATGCTATGCCAAAAGATGCCATTAACCCTCGTGTCCGTTTGTGGATGAATGGGTAAACAAAATGTGGTAATACACGTGCAACGGAATAATATTATTTAGCCTTAAAAAGGAAGGAAATTCTGACATGTGCTACAACATAGAAGAAACTTGAAGCAATTATACTAAGTGAAATAAGCCAGATGTAAAAAGACAAATACTGTATGATTCCGCTTTTGTTAGGTATCTATGAGTCAAATTCATAGAGACAGAAAGTGGAATGACGGTTACAAAGGGCCGGGAGGAGACAGGGAGGGGAGTTAGTGTCTAATGGGCACAGAGTTCCCGTTCGGGAAGACGACGGTGGTGATGGTTGCACAACAGTGCGGATGTACTAAATGCCACAGAACTGTACCTAGAAATGGTTAAAATGATAAATTCTATCTTATTTATATTTTGCCACAGTTTTTTTAAATGGCATATCCTAATGATCCAAAAGCAGATTTCTCTGGCATTTTGGGAGATCTGTCCCTGTAGATAGAAATTCTCAACACCGTTTGGGTGAGGTTTCAAGGCAGCGGGGAGTCCGTCTGTCTGCTGTCATTTTGGCTCGCGTTTTTCTACATGGTCATGAGACTAGAGCAGGACATGCCAAATTCCAGAAATGCTCTTTTTGTGGCACTTTTTGTTTTACCTGTTTTGTTAGTGGATCTGTCGTAGCGCCTGGTAGTCTCTAGGTCCTTGGCTGAGAGCTCGTGAACTGCTACTTAGTCACAGGCAGAGAACGCTGCCGGGGGCCAGGGGGCTCGGAGACTGTAGTTTCCAAGATTCTACCCTTTTTCTGTTCTTCAAACCTGGGCTAGCCTTTTCTAGTGTCTGTCTTTGTGTCTCTGTCTTTCTTGTACATCTTTCATTTTCTCTGGTGTTTCAAAACTGAATAGTAGCAGTTCCCTTCCACAGATTTCAGGTTTCTTTATGACTCTAAGATGCATTTCTCCTCATCTGCAATCCTCAATTCATTTTCAGCTAACCCCCTATTTGACTTCAGAGCCCTCTATGTTGGGCCCTTTTCCCCCAGTCTCCTCCTCACCTTCTGTGGCTATAGTATTCTATATCCAAGGCTCTGTCATTTCCACTTAGAAAGTGGATGTACCAGTTGAAAATTTGGCAATGGCTCCACATGGCCTGTGAGCAAACCCTTAAGCACTTAGCTTGGCACATAAAACCATGTGCAATCTGCCATCTATCTCAGCTCATGCAGCTTCATCTCCCAGCATGCCCAGGTCCTGCTTCATTCTGCAGTGGGGCTGATTGCCAGGCTGTCCCCTAAAGGAACCATACTGGCTCATACCTCTTCCCTCTGTCTATTTTTCCACCATCTCGCCCAAATCCCAGGGCAGCGTCT